CAGGGCATACTTAGGGCACTGGGCGCCCTCCCCAGCACTCAAAAACAAACCCACAAATAAAATAATGAAGAAAAATTGGAAGAGGCGAGTTAGAGCAGGGAAGGGGGCCGAGGGACTGCAGAGGGAGCCGCTGCCTCTGCATGAGGGCGGCATGGAAAAGGGGGCCCTATTGAAACCAGAACGTAAATGCAAACTGGAGCCACAAACAGACTTGCTCTACAGCGATGCAGGCCCTGCAGTGACGTCAGGAGCCGGGGAGGAACCCGATGCCAGGATGGGTTGGGGTCCTGGGGGTCCCAGGCCAGCTCCTGGCTGGGGGGTGGCCCGGCTGGCTCTTTCCCACCCTGTCCACCACCAAGCCCTGCCCAGCCCCCCTCGGGAGCCAGAGTCTCCCCGCCTGTCATTCAAGGACTGACCAATGTCACCCTCCGGCATCCACCCCAGCACTTAGTATGCACGAGGCAGCTGCATTTATTGTGTCCAGTTTTGGATCAATCTAAGGTCCCCCCTGTGCCTGGCCACCAGTGGGGGGCCTTTTGCTGCTGTCAATTCTTAGGAGGTCCGCTGGGGAGGGGGACTCCCCAAGGCTGAGCGCTATGCTCCCGCCACACCAGGGGCAGAGGAAGGTCTGAATTCGCACCTCAGGCGGTGAGGGCACCCAGGAGAGGAAAAGTGCACCTGTGCCCCGCCCCGCCCCGCCTCCTGGCCTCCAGGCACCCTGCACGGCCAGGCCGGCTACAGACCCGGACCCTAGCCGCAGGTGCCACCTCCGAGCGTTTGCCCACGCTGATGCCACAGCCCAGACCACCCTTCCGAGCCTCTGGAACTCCTACTCGACTGGCAGAACCCAAGCCTTCTGACCCGGTCCCGTCTTCCTCGCCCTAGCCCCAGATACCCTGGGTTCTGCCCGCTCCCGAGGCGGTCAGAGGCAGCCGTGCCAGGTCGTGTCTGCCCGCCTGTCCCCGCCCGCCAGCGCGCCCCCCATTCACCTCCACGAAGTAGAAGCAGGGCAGAAGCGTCATGCTGTCTTTCGGGCTTTTATTCTTCTCCTTGGTGGAAATCATGGTGCCGCGGACGCTGCAGGCCAAGGCTGGAGGGGCACAAAGCCGCGCTGCGGAGGAGGACGCGCACACTGAGCCCTGGGGGGACCCGGGGCCCGGTGCAGGCGGGGGAGGGGTGCGAGGACTGGAACACCGCCCAGGGAAACTGCGGCCGCAGGACAGAGGCGGCCCACAGCCCTGCCTGCCTAGGAATCAGGGTCCCCACGCCGTGCAGGGGGTGGGGAAGGGGATCGGGAGGAGGGCGCCGTCGGCCCGGCCCAGCCCGGGGGTCTCGGTGCCCGCGCTGGTTCCCCGCACAGGGCAACGTATCCGGCAGCCCTGGACCCGGGCGCGCAGGGGGTGGGGCCGGCGCCGTCGCAGCCCTCACCTGGCCGGCGGCGAGCACA